ATCCATTAACCAATAAAAGCAATACATATTCAGAAGTACTCCCTACACCAGAGGGGAGTCAAAGTTCTTTTAACTTTGTTACATAGAGGATCAGTTGAATTCATTCCTTCTTTTTAAAGTTTGTTTTATGTGTAAGGGCCTTTTGCCTGCATGTGTGTATGTGTACCACACGTGTGCAGTGTCCACAGAGGCTGGAAGAGGGCATCGGTACCCCGGATCTGGAGTTACAGATGTTCGTGAGCCTCCATGGAGGTGCTGGGAACTGAACCTGGGTCCTTTGCAAGAACAGCAAGTGCTCTCACCTACTGATCCATTTGTCTAGCTCCCAGTCCTTCTTGTTATTATTAGAGGTTACACTCAAGATTTAGAATAATGTTCTAGACACCTAGAAACTCAGAGCAGAAATAATTTTGTGTGATGTGTCTGTTGAAAACTAACAGACACTACTGATGAGTAGTGAGTTTGCTTGTGGTTTGCAAAATTTAACCTTTCACACATGGACAGGGATGCCTGGGAGGTTATCCTAAAGGTTATCTTAAAAGGCTCCTATGACATTATATTGGAACTGACCCTGGCCACTAATGAAAGAGTAATCCTCCCCAAATCACCCCAAAGCTAGTAATCCCCAGGGCTGTGTGTTGGTGATTAAAAAAGAAAGGTAAGAGCAGCTGTCTTTTTGTTCAGCTTAATTCTGTCCATGTACCTGGGTGGGTGTTAATTTCCTGGTGGTGCTGGCTCAGAGAGAGGGAGGTGTTAGGTTTCTGCAGAGACTGAATGTGCAGACGTGAGTTCTGCCTGCTGTGTGCCTGGGGAGCAGCACAGTTCAGGGGAGCTCAAGCTCGTGGGCTCAGGTTGCGTGCCTTTTAATTTCTGTCCTTTAAGTTGGACACATGGACCACTATGTACCTTAGGACATGACAGTCCTATCAGGTATCAGCTAGACGGCACACTTTAATTAACAGTGCATCACCTCACCCCCACCTCCAACGATGAGCCCTGCTGAGCCTGTGAGTCAGAAGTCAAGTCATCAGATAGAGGAGCAACACCTTCATCCTGTTCTGTCACATTCTCTCTCTCTCTCTCTCTCTCCAATTTTTGATTGCCTAGAACTCTTCATCTAGGGGTGGGGTCCTGTGTGATTTCCCCATCCTTGTTGGCATGTCAACTGGTTTTGCCATTTGTTGTGACTTCATGGGTGCAAATTNATCTATCTATCTATCATCTCTCTATCTGTCTGTCTGTCTATCTATCTATCTATCATCTCTCTATCTATCATCTATCTATCTATCTATCTATCTATCTATCTATCTATCTATCATCTATCTATCTATCTATCTATCTATCTATCTATCTATCTATCTATCATCTATCCATCCATCCATCTATCTATCTATCTCATCCATCCACCAGGTAGGCATGGTGCTGGAGTAGTAGCCGAGAGCTTACATCCTTACCAGCAAGTAGGAGGCAGAGAGAGCCAACTGGGAATGGTGTAGGCTTTTTGAAACCTCAAAGCCCACCCTCAGTGATATGCTTTAACTGTACCGTGTGGAGCCTAGAGCAGGGAACCCAGCTACACTTTTCTGGACTTCAGAACTGTAGAAACTATGAGATAACAAAGGATGTTGTTTCAGGCTCTACATGTGCAGCAAATTGTAAGGAAGGAATAAGAACAATAATATCCCACAGCAATCCATGTATCTACTAACTCAACTTCTAATTCTCTATCAAGGGTAATGTGCATCTCAGCAAGGTCAAACATATTAATTAATCAACTCAAGTTTTATTTCATTGTCTTTTACATTTATTTATTTTGAGAAAGGATTCCTTTTGGGTAGCTTTGAACTCTAGGAAGAGCACAGGCTCTCAGGACAGTTTTCACCATGATGAAGGCAATTATCCATGAAAGTGAGACTATGTATGACTTGTTTCATCTAAATGAAACAATGGACACATCCAGTTCCATCTATTTTTGTTGTAAATTGTAGCCTTTCATTCTTTTTATGGCAGAAGAGTGTTCCACTGCACATATGTGCCACATTAAAAACATTCATTTATCAGTTAATCCAACATCTCTTTATGATAAAAGTCCTGGAGAATCTAGAGATGCAGTGGACATATCTCTATAGTAAGTGGAATGGGCAGCATCCTGTCGCCCAGCTAGCTTAACCCCCGAAATAACCACACAGAAATTGTATTAATTAAAACACTGGGGCAGGAGAGATGGCTCAACGGTTGAGAGCATTGCCTGCTCTTCCAGAGGTCCTGAGTTCAATTCCCAGCAACCACATGGTGGCTCACAACCACCTGTAATGAGGCCTGCAGGAAGAATACTGTATACATAATAAACAAACAAATAAATATTAAAAAAAACACTGCCTGGCTTATTAGCTCTAGCCTCTTATTGGCTAACTCTCACATCTTGATCTAACCCATTTTTAATAATCTGTGTAGCACCATGAGGTTGTGGCTTACTGGGAGAGATTATAACCTATGTCCATCTCAGGCTGGAGATTCATGGCGTCTGCCACACTTCTCTTCTTCCCAGCATTCTGTTCTGTCTACTCTGCCCACTTAAGGGCTGCCCTATCAAAAGGCCAAGGCAGTCTCTTTATTCAACCAATGAAAGCAACACACAATCAGAAGAACCTCCTACATCATATCTCAACATAATAAAATCAGTGTACAGCCATCCACAGCCAGTATTATGCTAAACAGGAAAGCTCAAACATTTTCACTAAAATCAGGAACAAGATCAGGATGTCCACTGTCTACATTCCTGGTCAATAAGGTCTTGAAGTCTGAGCTAAAGCAATTAGACAAATAAAGAAGACAAAGATAAATAGGAAAGAATGAAGTCAAAGTATACTTATTTGACTGGGGGGTGGTGGCACACGCCTTTAATCCCAGCACTCAGGAGGCAGAGGCAGGTGGATCTTTGTGAGTTAGAGGCCAGCCTGGTCTACAGAGCTAGTTCCAGGACAGTTAGGGCTGTCACACAGACAAACCCTGTCTCAACCACAAAAAGGATACTTATTTGCAGATGATATGATTTTATATTAAAATACCATAGAGAGTCCATCAGAGGGCTGGAGAGATGACTGGTTGCTCTTCTGGAGGTCATGAGTTCAATTCCCAACAACAACATGGTGGCTCAGAACCATCTATAATGGGATCTGATACCCTTTTCTGTCCTGCAGACATATCAGAAGACAGAACAATCACATACATAATAAATAAATCTCTAAAAAATTAAAAAAGAGTCCACAAGAAAACTATGGCTGATAAACACAGTGCACCAAGGTAGGATAGAATAGAAACACTGATTTTTTTTCAACCTGAAGTTGGCTCTGCTTAACTCACCATCTCCCTCTGCATCCCTGTCTCGGGAAATGGACTAACTATTCATGCTAGACTCTTGGTTTCCTTATTTCCACACCCTTCTCTTCACCAGTGTGTTCTGCTACCCTGCTCTCTGGTAGGCTCCTGCCTGGCCCAAGTCCTGGCTGCCATGTTAGGGTTCCTTTTCTGGAGGTTCTTCTCCAAACTTTCCCCGTGTCCCTTTCAGTCACTGTTGAGAAGCCTTTCTCCAGCACACCATTGAATCAGGGTGCCCCACCGTGCCTTGCACAGTTCTCTCCACCACGTCACCGTTTTCCACAATCTTCATATTCTTACCATGCTTGGTCACCACACTACTTCCCATTGCTTCTTTCTTTCAGATTGGTAGTTCTGAGAAAGTGTCGCTCCTCCATCACTCCTGTGTGGCACTTAGTTGGCACCTAGTTCGTGTTTGGCATCCTCCACATTTGGTCTTCTTCCCTAAACTTTCCACTTTAATTTTCCATTGCTCTGACATTCTTCTTTCATAGCAACAAGAAAACCTGTACCCAGGCTCGACAGGGGATTGGGGGTATTTCGGCTGCCTTGGGTTGTCCCCTGCACGGCTTCCAGCTTCCCACCACTAACACTGTGTTGTATCTTTGGTGAAAGGAATTGTTTCTTCTAACTGCATCCTCTCAGGAAATAGGGGGATTCACCTTGGGAGGATAGCATGGCCATGGCTGTCCAAAAGGGAACCTTTTTTTTTTTTTTTTGAAACAAGGGTTAGCATCAGTCTGCCTAACGATGTAAAAAGTTGATTCTCACTCACGAGGGGCAGACTTTTTCTTAAAATAATTTGGTGCAAACCACTTTCCCCCTCCCTTCCACTAGGACTGGAGATAAGAGAAATTAGCATTCTGGATTCAGGCGTTGTTACTGTGAGCGGGATCAGCCAGGAGGGAGATGTCCAAAGGAGCCCCCTAGCAGAAAGAGGCCCTCAGTCCTTTTCTTTCCTCCTGACTTCAGTTTCTTGAGCATGGCACACAGAGAAGCTTGTATCTTGGCACAGAGCCCTTGACCTTCAGCATAGACCACGCTTCCCTGCATCTGTCCAGGTTGCTAGAGCAGGGCTGAGGGAGTTGAGCGGAGGACTCCCTCAGGACGGTTCACCCAGGCACCTCCTCTTCTATAGGTGCCATATGCCACAATTTATACACAGACATGATTTGCCTGATTGTTGCAGTCTGGGCCTGGAATAATTTTAATTAACGGGAAAATGGTCCTCAATACACCGATTAGACCTCTTCAGGTACAACAAGATAAAAGCCGGATAATTTGGATGGAGTACTCTTCTTAAATGTCTACTGTAGGCACGGCAGCCAATGGGAAAGCCTGGCTGGCTCCCACCTGACCCAGTGAGTAATTAGGAGAGGGCCTTTTCTTTTCCACCTCTCCCCCCTCCACCCTGTTCCCCAACTGAAGCTTAACAGGTTGGCGGTATGATTGGGAGACTTTCAGGGGTCTCATATTAGAAGCTTAAGCAAGAGCCAAGGCATCTTCTGCTCCCAGACACTGAGCACAGCTTGGGGTCGAAGAGCCAGCAAGTGAGGGGAGGAAGGAGCTGGAAGCAAAGAGCAAAGAACGGCTCTCAGCAAAGTTTGCGAGGTCCTATAGCCATGAGTGAACTGGGCACGCAGAAGGCTGGTGAAGGCACGGTGTCTCGCCTGCTCAATGTGGTGGAAAGTGAGCTTCAGGCGGGGAGGGAGAAGGGAGATCCTACAGAGAAGCAACTTCAGATCATCCTGGAAGATGCCCCACTCTGGCAGAGGTTCAAGGAAGTCACCAATGAAATGATCGTGACCAAGAATGGCAGGTGAGTTTGTCTGCATCCTGCTTGTGCTGGCCTTGGGTGGGCGAGGAAGGTCAGACACCCTTAGTGCTGATGAGGCTGCCTGCCACTCCTCCTTCAGAGGCTCCAGGCTCTCAGGGAACACCTTACGGAAAGACGGAAAGACGTCTCAGCTGGCTGTCACTCAGCCAACTTAATTCATGTCTCTGAGATCATCAGAGCAGTGGAAGATGGAGCCACCTGTCTTACACACACATTAAACGGAGGATTATTATGCAGGAGGGCATGCCCCGTGCACCGGGGAAGTGGGCTCAACTGTCAGACACTGGTATTAATTTTTGACTGACTACGTACCCCGGAGCAGACGTGGGCACAGCCCTGTTCAGAGAAACGTAAAAGTTGATTTTATTTGGAGACTACACAGTCTCCTCTTAAACACAGCAAACTTGTCAGACCATTTTGATTAGTCGAAGCCTGGGATGGAAAGGGCAGATTTAACCACCTTGCCTATCCCTCCACCTGCTTCCTCGAGGGCGAGTGCTCCATTAGGATTGTGTGTTCGGGACTGTGAGAGCGAACGAAGCCGCAGTACCCTGTCTCAGGGACGAGAAGTTTTCTTTTTCTAGCCTCCCCTGAAAAGAGTGGGGATTATAAGTACGGCTCCCTGCTGGTCTGGCTCAGGTACTGTGAAGTTGCGTCTGTTAAGGGGCTTCTGAGGCAAGCTTGCACTTAGCAGAGGAGATGCGAATGTTCTGAAAGAGACTCGCTGCTCAGGCGCACTGCCTCCCGATATGGCGCTCACGTACCTTTTGGTACCCACGGGCACAAAAGTATGAAACACCGAAGGATGTCTGCAGGAGTGCCGGCTGAGCCAGGACTCTTATTCTGACACCTGGAGGGAAGTTTTGCTTATGGAGAAAAGTTGAAGCCAGTCGAACTTCAGGCTGGCTTTTGTCCTTGAGTAAAATGCTTCAGTTCTTGTTGTCTCAGCGTTCTAATTTTGAATAAGACACGGCATGGAAAATGAGCTATCCCTTTGCAAAGCTGAGAGAATTATGAACCTGAGAGCCGTTGCGTGACAGTAAACTGCTTTGTGAATCAAAGTTAGACTGTAAATAAGTGCGTTTTCTAAACTGCGGTTCCAGCAGTAGGGAAAGGATCAGCCTTGAGTGATAATGACATTTTCCTTTCTGAACAGACTCCCATACGTGTACTCTACATTTTATTACTCTTAATACTTGAAAATTTCATTTCTCTCGTTTCTTTTCTTGATGGAAAATATTTTTAACGTCAAAGAATTGCCCCAAACTCTTAAGTGGATTTGGTCTCTTTCAAAGATGAGTGATGTTGTGATTGTAAAAACTTAGTCAGGTCTGGTTGTGGGCAGAGCACTCAGTTTGTGCTTTATTATTGTGTAATCTCACAGGTGCTTAGATCCCATATTTGTCCACCAAAGTGACCCTCTATTACAATATAAATAAGTTCAACCAATAGATTAAAATATGGTCCAAGTGTTTTAGGAAAGGCAGTAAAATTTTATGAGACATTATTAAATTCAATTTGATAGTAAATTATAGCAGAATGTACCTTTGCCATTCAAAAAGAGTGCTGCTTACCTTTTTTAAAACCTCCGTAAAATTTCAGTATTTAAAGTTTAAAATTATGGAAAAGCTGTTTTATTGCCTGGTCCTGTGAGCCGCTGACTGGCTGAGTTTTCCAGAAGCTTTGGTTAGATCAGTGAGCTAAGCCTTGGGCACGTGTGCTCCACGGCTCCCTTTCCCCTTCTTTCCGCTGTTCCTCCCCATTACAAATTTAACAACAGCAGCAAATACTTTAGTCATTTGGGTTTGATAAGCTTTCAAACACAGTGGTAACTACAATACTCCCCGTCTGTACTTACCTTCCCCTCCACCATTTAAGCTAGGAATTTATGTGTTAAGTTGCAGGAAAAAATTCAGTTCTGCCTATACAGGCAACTAAATTAAATATCTTCCCTCCTCCCTCCTTTCCCCATCCTCCTTTTCCTCCTGTTCTTTTTTATTCTTTCTTTCCTTTCTTCTTTCTTCCATTCTTATCTTTCCCCTCACTCCCTTCCTCCCTCCCTCCCTCCCTCCCTCCCTCCCTCCCTCCCTCCCTCCCTCCCTGTGCCTTTCCAGTACTGACTGGAGACTGCCTACATACTAGGCAACTGATGTACTACCGAGCTGTATTCCCAGCCCTCTTTCGAAGGGTCTCACTAAGTTGCCCAGGCTGGCCCTGAATTTACTTTGAATTCCAGGTTTGTCTTGAGCTTTTCTCTCTCATGCCTTGGCCTCCTGCGTAGCTGAGACAGGTAGCCTGTGAGCTCAGACCCAATGTACTTGTTTTCTTTACCTATAAACATCTTCATCTGAGAGACAAGTAAGTGCTGTATTTCACGTATAGTTTATGCGGTTTAATAATTTTGAGTTAGTTAAACTCACCTAGTACAGAGTTTTAAGAAGTTGGAAGCATTTTCTGACCTATCTGGTGCTACTGGACTATCATACACAGGAGCTGGGGAGGCAGGGTTGGAATAGGGGGTGCTAGTGATGTGCTCCTGCTGGCAGTTTCCAGGGAGGGCAGCACAAAAGAGAAAACCGAGGGTTACATCTCAGGCAGGTTCCTCTCCATGCCTGGGTAGCCCAAGAGTCGTTTTCTCTACACTTTACAATCACAAGTTACAAAGATCATAGGCACCTGCGTAATCTGCTCCTCCCCCGATGCTACTGCTCTTTCCCCTCTGACTGGTACATGATTGACAACTGCGGCTGAGCTTATGCCTGCTTACTTTCATGTACTAACATTCATGTGTTTCGTAATTATACAACATATGTGCACATGGACACACACACACACACACACACACACTCAACCCTGACAGCTTTCGTGAGCTTCTGGTGACTGTTTATTGTTTGGCAAGGAGAGTGAAGGCTGTTTTTGAGCAAAACCTCCTGATTGTTCCCCTCCTTGCAAAGTTGGTCTCGTTGCTTCCACTTTTCTTCTGTAGCCCCAACTCCTGCTAACCTCTTCCAGCAGGGCTCTTTCCCAAGATTCCTGTTGGTGAAATAAAAACTGCTAGCTTCACAAGAAAACCAAAGCCAAGTTTGTGGGTAAAACTCAATACCCATGACCCATCAAGCATAGTGTTTGGGGACGAGTTGTTCATGTTTTCTCATTTTCTCTGCTTACCCTCTCCATCACCCCCTCTTCCTCTTTGTGGAGATTTATTTTCAAGGGTGAATTAAGTGCTGGTAATCTGTGAGTTAGAAGCTGATTCCCATGTCTCCAAACTCTTCAGAGACTCAACCCTCTCTGTGCTTCGTCATGCTTTGAGGGAAAATGGAAAAAAAAAATCACGTTGAATAGAAGTGGATTTCATCTCTGATAGCAAAACCTTGCCACGAGTCATGATTACAGGTCATAGGTGATGTTTCAAGATCACTGTGGGTCAAGACAAAGAAGGGGCAGGGGAAGATGAGGTGGAAGGAGATTAACCTGGCTAAGAGGGAGGTCTAGTCTGATTCTAAGACCTTTGACAAACGGACAGGCTTATTCATTCCCCATTGTGATAACAGAAATTAAAACCACACGTCATTGTTTAGTTCATCCATGTGGTGATCTCAAAATCAAGGATAATTATAAAGTTCTTGGCAAACGGATCATTAAAGGGTATGAAACAGTCGATCATTCTATTATTTTTCATATAAGACCTCTGTCCAAGCATCTTTATTTAATTGACAGAATTATTATGGGATGTGATTCATATAACATATCACTCATACACTTAAGGCACACAGGTCAATGGGTTTGACATATTCCTAGAACTGTTTATCCTTCTCCACAACTGATGTAGAACATTTCATTGTCTTTTCCCCACCCAAGAACCCTATATCCCTTGACCCACTAGTTTGCCTTTCGCCTCTCTAGATTTACTTATTCTGGATTCTAGATTTACATATAATGCTATATGTGTTTCTTTGTGAAAAATTTTCTCTTAACCTAGTGTTTTCAAGGTTCATGTGTGTTATAGCATGCAGCAGCACTGTGGACCTTTTGTGACCAAATATCACCCCATCATATAGATATAACATATTTTGCATCTATTCATCATTCAATGGATCTGTCCATTTTTGTAATACTGCTGCTATGACATATGTGTAATCATGTGTTTTCATCCTGCCTGTATACATTTCTAGGAGCGGACTTGCAGGATTAAATAATAATACCGACAGAGTGACTCTACCATTTTGCATCCTGCACAGCACTGTGGGAGGGGCTCCAGTCTCTCCATGCTCAGCAACACTTTCTGTTGTCTTGCTTTTCTACAGTAGCTGTCCTTAAAGGTGTGGAGTGACATCTTTCTTGTAAGCTTTAAGGATGAATAGTGATGCTGAGAAGCTCCTTGTGCAGTCCTGGTTTCCTTACAATATCAAGTCTATCTGAATTTAGAAAGAAGGAAAAAATGCCATTAGGGGCTCCTTCTTTGTGACTGAGACCTCACACAACAGAGTTGAGAGATGAAGAAGGGGTACCCAAGCCTATTGGAACATCCTACAGGGGGTTTCCTTCTCATTGCCCCAGCAGATACGGCTTTTTCTTTTAGTCTCTCGCCTAATAGGCTTATTGGAAACTTGGGGCCTCTGTACTAAAACAGGGGTGTAATAACACCTTTTTGTAGTGAAGGAAGGCTTAAGTAAGGTATAACATATACTAACCCCTGGGTGCATATGGTAACTATTATCATTGGAAAAGGACCTTGCGCTAAATCATCTTGTTAGTGGTAAATGAGAACTAGGCTCTCCCAGTGTTTGATGTCACGCCTTCATCTTGAGCAGTTGCATCATTCTGTGCTCAGTGTGACGGAACAGACACGCTTCGCAGATTTTGCTCTTGTTTAAAATAACCTGCGACAGATGCATCCTAGCCTCACAGTGCTTTTAAACTTTAGTCCACAAAACAACAATTTATTTGCCATGCTTGTGCTCTTTCTTTCTTTCTTTCTTTTTTTTTTTTTTTTTTTTTATAACACAGGGTCTTACGATGTTATCTGGGCTGACCTGGAACTCACTATGTAGACCAGGCTGGTTTTGAAAGTGCCACTCTTTCCTTCACTTGGTCTCTGTCACTATTCACGAGTGACCACACGTCACCCTTGTAAGGTTTTTTTTTTTTTAAATAATGTAAAAGAAGAAGAAGAAAAGAAATCCAAAATGTATCACTTTGGGGAAAGCTTGGGGCCAGAAGACAGAGACCATCTGCGACCATACCTCCTGTGAACAAGCCATCTTCCCAGCTGTCAAAACGACTTTATGGATCTCTCTGATGTCTGCATTTATGTTTCTTTGCAAATGACATGTGTGCGTTCAGTAACCCCTCTTGTCTACACCGGGCCAACACTATTAAACTAATTGAAAATGTCAAATACACAGAGAAAAGGAATAGTTCAGTCTGATGTCAAGAGAGAGTAACGGCGAAAAACCGCTTCTATTGCGTCTAAGAAAAAAAGCAGAAGAAAGAGGAACAGGGAAGATGCTGCATCACTAGCCTTCCCGGTGACCTGAAAGAGAAGTCATCTCCAGGAGGACAGTGATATGGGACATGTGATTCTCAGCCGAAAATATGGGCCGGGAACACATTATCTGATGCATTTTCTCCCGTAGACACTTTATTTCTGATGCACGTACTGAGGCTCATTTATTGAAACTAGTGTCACAGCAAGGAGGCTTTATCAAGCTGCAGGAAATCAGTCAGCTGATTCTCGTGAAGTATTTATTCCAATACCTGGTAAACGTGCCAAGTATTGGCACTCTGCCCTTAGCCTCGTGACCTCCAGCTGGCCAGTCCTGTTGCTGTTCTAGAATTTTACCTTGGGTCACTTTGGACGTTGGGAGCACATGCGGTTATCTACTCTGTCCCTGGTTGGCACTTCCCTTGTCTTTTCCTTTTGAAAACAGGAAGTCTAGAAAGAACTGGGGGAACTTAGTGATGGTGGCTATGTGGTTTCTCTTTGTGGGTAATAAGGAAGCTATAGCATTAGAAGTGAGATATTTAGACAGATGTTCTAGAGGGTTGAAGAAAGACCAGTGAACTCATATTTAATCTCAAGACTGATTTGCCTTAAACAGAGATCCCCACAAAATGGTCAAAGACAGGCGGGGTTTAGGGTGCACACAGTCTCACATTCCTTCCTGTGTCCACAGTGAACTTGGGTACGGTAAGTCTCTGAGAAGTCCTATAGGAAAAGAACTCTAGCTGGTCCCTCAAAATCCCGCTTCCTGCTTGCTCTCCCACGCAGCCCTCTACGTGCTGCGTCCTTTATTCCTAATCAGGGTTCCGTGCGAGTCTGGGGCGGGTGGGTCTCTAGCCTCAGGATGCTAGAGACAGAGCTGCGTGAGAATGCAGCATCTGAGGACACACGTGTCTGTATGTCCTTCTGTAGGAATTGACTAGACCGGTGGCCCGCAGATTTTAACACACAGAACAGTGTTTTATAGTCAACCTCAATGCCGAATGCATTAATAGAAAGAGGCTCTGGTACTGGGGCTTTGGTCTTAGCTGCTGTCTGTGTGGCCTCCCTTCTAGATCATTCCGTGGAAGGTCTCAGAGGCAGAAAAGCCGCTGGGGCAAAAAGGAGAAGGGATCCTCTAATGTCCCCTTTGGGGGCTGTTTCTGGCTTCTTTCAGACGGATGTTCCCTGTGCTGAAGATTAGCGTCACAGGGCTGGACCCCAATGCCATGTACTCCTTCCTGCTGGACTTTGTCCCGACAGACAGTCACCGCTGGAAGTACGTCAATGGGGAATGGGTTCCCGCAGGCAAGCCGGAGGTCTCCAGCCACAGCTGTGTCTACATTCACCCCGACTCGCCCAACTTCGGGGCTCATTGGATGAAAGCTCCTATCTCCTTCAGCAAAGTGAAGCTGACCAACAAGCTCACCGGAGGTGGGCAGGTACGCGCAGCCTCCCCACACACCAATCAAGAAATATCAAGGGTGCATTTAAGCAATTAGAGGGGTCCTCACCGGCCTCTTTGCCCACAGAAGCCGGTTATTTCCTGGAGTCCAAATGTAAACAGGAATAAACAGCTCTTAATTGGTGCTTCAGTTTTTAATGGACTTCCTGACGTTAAGAGAACGGGAGAGAGTGCGCTAGTTTACTTAATCACCAGGCTCTTTTCCGTTTTGTCTTGCCTGCGGTGCTTTTTACCCAGCCCAGGGAGGGAGATGTTTGTGGGTACCAGGTTTTGTTTTCCTCTCCCCCCACCCCTTTTTTTTTGGTGTAAGTGGCATTTTGGCAATAGACAAATACCTTAATAAAAAGCTGCTCCTAAATGAAATAATTACTTCTTCTGCTTGGGCATTATGATAATTATCAATAGAATATTGAATCAGCTTTTTTTTTCTTTCAGAAAAAAATCCAAACAAACCTTAAATAAGGAATGTTTTATTTAAAATCTCCAATTAGGGTAAACACGATGTGGAGCCTTTTTTCCTCCGTTTCTGTAGCAGGTTGCAAATCCAGCTCCCTGGGTAAGGCTGTTAGTTGCTTTATAAAATGCAGACCATTTGCAGGCGTTGGAGATGGGACTTGGGGGACAAGGCCTGTTCCTCTCCCCGGCCTTCATGCTTTGCTTTGTTTGTTCTGAGCCTGGGTCTTTTCCTTTCTCTCTGTGCTAAGTGGCAGGGAACACAGGAGTTCAGAGTTTAGGAGGTAGAAGTAATGCACCCCCAGGCTTTGTGTTAGCCAGAATATTCTTTATTAAAGTGCAAATCTGAAGGTTGCTTGTTCCTGCCTCACCATATCTCACAGCACAAGGCTTTAAATAGTCTTGCATTTAAATCATGAAGAGTAAATTTTGCATAACCTTCTGATATTAGATTTCTTTACCCTGTAGGCACGGCTAACAGTTTTGCATTCCTGGAATTCTTCACATATAAACAAATATATATTTAAACAGATTGAAAAGTATATTGTCATACTGAACACAAAGGCAGCAAGAAATTGGAAGCTGGGATCTGGGTAGACTAGAGAAAGCTTAACTTTGGCCATTTGCCTCTGATCCTGGTGTGAGTGTCAGTGAGAGGCTTGCTGAGAATGCCTGTAAAAAATGTCCCCGTTCATTTTCACATAGAACTTCATGTGTCTGTCCCTAGCTGGGGTGGAGGAACCCACGGCCCTGGCTGGCTGATCAACTATGATGTCCTAGGCTTAGCTTTGCCTTCTAAGACCTTTTCTCCCCTTCAACAGATAATGCTGAACTCGCTACATAAATACGAACCTCAGGTTCACGTAGTGCGTGTTGGAGGTGCCCATCGAATGGTCACAAACTGCTCCTTCCCTGAAACCCAGTTCATTGCTGTGACTGCCTATCAGAACGAGGAGGTAAGCAAGTGTGTGCCTGTGTCTCTGTGTGTGTGTCAAAGTTACATGGAAGTGCATGGTAGAGTCGGTGGGATGTCTTTTTATTGCCAGTGAGTAAGACTGAACAGAATTTAAGTCTTGAGGATTTGGACTTTCTCAACAGTGATAAAGCTAAATAGTGAAGTCAGTGTAGAGTTTCTCACGCCTACCTCCTAACTATTCCACCAGCTCCCAGGGACACCAAGCCTTCACATACGGGTCTTTGGGACACACACAAGATCCATGTGACAGCAGTCCACCAAAGCAGCCTCTCCCAGGGCGGACCAGACACACTTGTATATCACTATAAAATTGCTGAGTCTATTGGAGATCTGAGTCATTGTTATGGTTCCCTTAGTGTGCTTGGTCGGTAGAAACTGGTTCAGACTGGATCAAACTGGTTCAGACCAGTTCAAACCGGTTCAGACCAGCTCAAACCAGTTTAGATCGGCTCAGAGCAGATCAAACTGGTTCAAACCGGTTTGGACCGGTTCAAACTGGATCAAACCTGTTCGGACTGGTTCAGACTGGCTCAAACCTTATCAAACCAGTTTAGACCGGTTCAGATTGGATCAAAACAGTTTAGACTGGTTCAAATCGGTTCAGACCAGATAAAAACTGGTTTAAACCAGTTCAGACCAGATCAAAACCGGTTTAAACCGGTTCAGACTGGACAAACCCACTCAAACAGGTTCAGACTGGATCTAACTGGTTTAGACCAGTTCAGACCAGTTCAAACTGGTTTAGACTGGTTCAAACCGGACCAAACTGGTTTATACCAGCTCAAACTGGTTTAGACCGGCTCAGACCATTTCAGACTGGATCAAGCCGGTTCAAACTGGTTCAAGCTGGTTCAAGCCGGTTCAAACCAGTTCGGACCGGATCAAACCGGGTTCAGACTGTTTGAAACCGGTTCAGACCAGATCATACCAGTTTAGATGGATTCAAACCAGATCAGACCGGTTCAGACTGGATCAAACCGGTTTAGACCAGATCAAACCAGATCAAACCAGATCAGACTGGTTCAAGCCGGTTCCTACCGGCTCATATCGGTTTAAGCAGTTCAAACCGGATCAGACTGGTTTAGACTGGTTCAAACCAGTTCAGACCGGTTCTGGTTCATTTTGTAAATATCAGCTCTATGTTTCTTTCTTTCCTCTCTTAAATGACTCGATAGTACATAGTGGGTCCCTTTCTATAAAGTTACATCCAGCCATATCTCTTTTTCCTATAACTACTCTGGTATTTGCTTATATAGGTGTATGACATTCATATGAGCAACCTCCTGCCTCTAGCAGAACTTAAATTGCTTTGTTTTTAATTATGCTGCTGGGGAAATCAATCTATCATAGTTTGCTTAATAGTGAACACTTAGAGAAAGGATTGTTCTGCACAGGGAATATGTTGAGGATTTTGATATATGTGCCAAGCTTTCACCCCACATAGAAGCAAACGCTTTCACCCCTCACAATCTTAGCATTAAAAAACTGATAACTTCTGGCTGCTTAAACATGTTTCTTTATGTGGAGGCTTTAACAGAGCCAGGCAGCAGGACTAGCATCTCTGAGGAAGGTTTTTACAGTCTGCCATGTTTTGTCTCCTTCGAAGGGCCCTGTTGGTCATCAGGTTGGAGACTGGCATCTTGGTTTCCATATGTGAAATGACGTTGCAGACCTAGCTTAGGGCAAGCATACAGAGAGAGAGAGAGTCATTGCAGTTCAATAAAGAAACCCAGGCTCTTGGCAGAAGCCTGGCAGTGGGCCAGCAGGAACAGAAACTGCCAGATCCTCCCCACTGGTGCTGTCTTTCAACACCCCAGTCTCTCAGCTAGCCTTCTTCTCTCCACTTCTCTCTGGGAGGAGTCGGTGTTGAAGGAGATGGCCCAGACAGTGGTCCCTGCCCATCTGCATGCTGCTCGCTCTCAGCCACTGGCCCTTGTCACTCAGTTACTGAGCATCTGGGAGATGCTTAGAAACTTAACCTGGTCACAGGTGCCAGACAGTTCTCTCTGAACCACCTGCCTGGCGAGGGCTATCCTTCTAGCAAATTCCCTAGCCTGGCTTAGCCATCCCTTGAGTTTGAATGTATTCCCTGCCGATCAAGCTGTGTAAAATCTAAGCACAGACCCTCCTACTGCTCACACGGTTTCCCTGAGAGCTGAGTCAGTGTGGGGCTGGCTGAGAGAGTCAGAAATCTCCTTTGCATGCAGTGCCAGCTTCACTTCCCACCCAAACTTTCCAGGCTTAAGCCAAGAGAAATAACAGGGCGTCTGCTCCTGACCTATACCCCTTCCCCCTTTCTAGAAAGAGCTGTACTTTTACTTTTCTTTTCTTTTCTTCCTTCACACAGAGTCATAGGCTCTTGCAGACATCAATAGTTTGTTTGCTATTTCTTCTTTGTGATCCCAAACGCTGTGCCCACTTGCCTCACTTTGCGCATCATTTGCTGTGTTTGTCCCACAGCGCAGTGGTCAGTGCAGAAGTGAACCATGGGACATGGGAAGGGAAGAAAATAGGAAGAGGGAATTGTGACTTTACAGAAGTTCACGGGGAGACCAGGGCTGTGTCTGCAGTGCACTGTTTCGGTAACCCATCTTCTTGTCTTTGCAAGATAACAGCTCTCAAAATCAAGTACAACCCTTTCGCCAAGGCCTTCTTGGATGCCAAGGAAAGGTGAGTGGAAGGATTTCAGTAAGAATTTGTGAACCAAATTCTGCAAACATGGGGCTTCCTGAGCAGAACTTGAGCTTGAATTGCCTTTGCTAGAAATATGTCGCAATGGTCAGTTTAGTGCTGAACAAACTCAAAAACAAAATTCAGACCAAATGACAGTAATTTGTCCCTAGAGCAGCTCCTGTAGGTCTACTAGAGCCTGCAGCTGTCAGGGTTTTATCAGCCTTGTTTTACTGTGGGTTATTGAATGTAGCACAACCACCTAAAATGGGATTTAGGTTTTAAATAATTTTCTCCATGCTTTCCCAACTTTTGAAGAATATGTATGGTGTTTTACTTTAATTTTTGAGACATGATCTCAGGCAGAGCAGACTGACCTTGAACTCACTGTGTATCTGAGGATGATCTTGAATTTGTGATCTCTCTGCCTCCATTTCACAAGGGGTTACAAGCATGAACCGCCATGCTTCACGTACGTGGTGCTGGGCAGTGAAGCTAGAACTTTGCGTGTGCTAGACAAGAATTCTACAAACTCAGCTATAGTCTCCAAACCATGAATATGGCTCTAGTAATTCCCCCCGTTTCTCCATGTAGGATCTCTGTACTGGCATGAATGGTGAACTAGCAGTTTGCGCGAGTGTCTTGCCAACTCCCCGCCTTTTTTGCCATGGAGGCTAAAATGAAAGAGCAGTGTAAACCATTCCTGTCCCTATTGACTCCTAAAGTACAGGGAGGGTCACCTTTGAAGTGTCCGGACTTTACTGACCAAGCTTCAAAATTTTCACTGGTTTTTTTTTTTTTTTTTTGTTTGTTTGTTTTCAAGACAGGGTTTCTCTATATAGCTAGCCTTGGCTGTTCTGGAACTAGCTCAGTAGAGCAGGCTGGCTGGCCTCAAACTCACAGAAATTAACCTGTCTCTGCCTCCACCATCCCCGGCTTTCACTGATTTTTTTTTTAAATAAAATGTCTAATATTTCCTTTTCCTTTTAAAGGTTATGGATTGATAGACAGCCATCTTTAATGCTATGCCACAGGAATCTGTTCTGTTCAATGCCTGGGCACATTTTGATGATGTAGAGGACAATGCTTAGATAAGTTTTTGAGATAACAGAGGTCCTAAAGAACAAGTTGATGTACATGAGGTGACAAAATCTACATCAAAGTGATAGTAGCATGCCATGATAGAAAGAATTCAGAAATCCACTGGGCTGTGGTGCTCATCATGTCTTTAATCCCACTATTGGTGGATCTAATATATCACATATGGATCGTCCCAAAACCCTGTGCAGTTTATTATTATTATTATTATTATTATTATTATTATTATTATTATTATTTTCTTCAAGGCAGGGTTTCTTTGTGTAACAGCCTTAGCTGTCCTGGAACTCGCTCTGTGACCAGGCTGGCCTTGAACTCAGGGATTGAAGGCCTGCACCACCACCACCACCGCCTGGCCCCTGTGCAGATCTTAACTATTGTTATTACTGTCTCATCTTGTGAGGCACGTCAAAGAATCATAAAACCAATCAAATCAAAGTAAAAAGTGATGGCTGTAGGACTAACGGGGAAGGAAAAGTAAACTTGTTCCGTGTAGACTCAGTGTCCCTGGGAAGGCAACCTGGGGAGGATAGCAGCTTTGATTGCTCTTATTCCAAGAAGTTTATCACCCCCTGCAGAGAGATGTACGTGCTTTGCGCGGGACTGTAACAGACTCTGTGATCTTCATTACTCTTCCAGAAACCACCTAAAGGACATCCCGGAGGCTGTCTCTGAGAGCCAGCACGTGACCTATTCTCACCGTGAGTGGCGGGATAGCATGTGGGAGGCATGTGGGGCCACACGGGAAGCTGTCTCTCTTTATGCTCGCTTTACTGTCGTGATTGTGTCGGGCTTAGTCCAAACCGAGACCCCCATCAGTCATTCCTCTAACCTGAGGCAAGTGTCTGCCTTTCCTAGAGTTCCTAGAGAGAAGCCAGGTTCCCAGGCTGAAGAAGCCCAAGCAAACCTTAGGTAGGACCCTGGAATGGAAGTCATTAATGTCGCCCGCTCTAGCTCTCTGATAAGGTCTCCTAACAGGCATCCGGGCTTATTTTCTCCCTTCACGCTTTCCACTCTTGCTTCTTTGGTCTGAAGTTTTCATTTTCTTCGTTTTGGGGTCCTCGTTGCAGCGCTTCAACAGGCTGTGGCCTCAGGTGTTAGAATGTAGTTGAGTTTTCTGGAGGGCGGGAGACCTGGAGCTCCTCACACCTATGATTCTGAGGTAGTACCGGGCATTCCTGGTGGAGCCTCTTTCTCCATGCCCCAGCACAGCAGAGGCCTCAGGGTGGAGCCAGACTTGTGAAGTGGCAATGGTAACCCTAGAACAGTGACAAGGGAGTGAGGCTCACTTCTGACATACTCATTTTTCTTTTTAATTGAAAATAGATTCTTCTCTTAAACAATACATCTGACCCCATTTCCCCCTCCCTCCAGCTCCTCCCCCCTCTCCTCTCCCCCAGATTTACTTCTCTTCCATTTCCTTTTCAGAAAGGAGTAGACCTCTAAGAGACAACAACCAAACACAACTAAAGAATATACAATAGGAGGAAAAGAGCCCCAAGAGCAGGCAAAAGAGTCAGAGATTTACCCACTTCCACTGTTAGGGGTCCCACAAAAACATCAAGCTGACAGCCATCACATATATGGAAGACTGAGTGCTGACCTGTGCAGGCCCTGTGCTTGCTGCTGCAGTCTCTGTGAGCACGTCAGCCCTGCTTAGCTGACTCAGTCCTGACTGACAACCCCTTTAGCTTGATGCTGGCAGAATGTAGAGAATGATTCTTGCTGCCCTGTGAGAGCTTTGGAATTCTTCACCCCCTCCTAGCCCCAAACTGCAGGTCATCTTCTCTGCAGATTTGTCAGCAGAGCCTTGCAGAGAAGCCATTAGGAAAGCCTTTTAAAGGGACTGCAGTCAAATACTCTCTTGTTTAGGTTACCACCAGGGTGGACCCACCCCAGCTGTAATGCTTTCAGCAAATAGCCTGAGGTGCCGACAGCACTGGGCAGACTAACTGCCCTTGGGGTGGTGTGGGCTCTGCCTTGTTTTTGCCAGAAATTAATCCTGAGTTTTGGCTTTGCCTACTGAACATCTGACTCCTGAATCTAATAATCAATATAGAGAAGTTTTAAATTTCCTCTGAAGTGTCTATGATTTAGACACTAAGAAATAGACTGATTGATAAATAGAAGTATATATAAGTTTTAAATTTCCTCTGAAGTGTCTATGATTTAGACACTAAGAAATAGACTGATTGATAAATAGAAGTATATAAATTATAAACATGAAAGAATATGAGAGCCATACAGAAACACCAGAGACTCAAGGAAAGGGCTTTGTGGTTAAAACTTAAATAGTTTGTTGGGTTACAGAAAGAGCCTCGAGGTGTCTGCTGGTGGGGGTGGGGAGATGGTGGTGTTCGCTGTGGAAGGGTAAAGGGAGCAAGCAGTTCCATCCTGGAGGCCAGGTTGCCTTCCGATGAATCTGTGATGTCCTGTGAAAGTCTTCTGGGTAGGTCTGATAAGACCTGTAAGGGGGAGCCCCAGGGAAAGCTGCTGACTCACTTACACATCTGGATCTCCCCACAAGAACAGCATTTTAGAGCTGTCTCCCAACACGCTGAGGGCCTACATTTGAGAGGTCCTGAGTTCAATTCTCACTCATCCCATGGTGGCTCCCAACCATCTGTAACAGGATCTGGTGCCCTCTGCTGGCCTGCAGGTGTACTGCAGAGCACTCGTATATGTAAAATATAAATAAAATGGGTTTTAAAAAAAAATTTCAAAAAAAAAATGCAGCAGCATCCCCTTCCCATTGACTTCTTCATCAGCTCCACCTGGATCAAGATAAGCCACCCCAAGTGTAGCCACTTCTGAAAGAGCAGTCTGTGCTCTTAACCGCTGAGCCATCTCTCCAGCCCCAATTCCACTTTCACGTTGCTGTGATCTAGGTGATGATCCTCAGTCACTGTGCTCAAGGGGCGGCTGTGGCCCCGGGCTAGCGTCCGTTTGGTATTTAAGCTGAAATAGCTTCTTGTTTCAGGGCTCACATGGCTAAGTCTTAGTTTTTCCCCCCAAACCCACTTAATGTAGGGCGTTCTGGTCAGGATCTTCACCAACCGTCTCTAGGACGTGTTTTGTGGGCTTTTGAAAGTTCAGTGAAAGGTTTGCAGTGCAGAGTTAGCTCCTCATTTTCTATGCTCTCAGAATCCTATTTGTAGGCCCTGCTGGAAGACATCACTTCCCACTGGGTAGAGAAGAGAGGGACCTTCCCTCTTCCTGTGTAACTGCATAACCAACCCGAGCGTCTGCAGACAGGGAGTTATACACACGTCTAATGTTTGCTAGACTGACGTTTACTTTAGTTAAGCCAGAATGACTTTTGCTATCTGATTTTGGTGTGGAAGTTCCTGCATTTTCTTCTTGTCTATTCTAGTGGGAGGCTGGATCCTTTCCAATCCGGATGGCATGTGCACAGCAGGAAACACCAATTACCAGTATGCTACGCCTTTGCCGCTGCCTGCTCCCCACACCCACCACGGCTGTGAGCACTACCCTGGCCTCCGAGGACGTCGGCAGGCTCCTTACCCGTCTGCGTACATGCATAGAAACCATGCTCCCTCAGGTGTGTGGTTCAGCTGATTAAACCCTTGGGCATGTACCTCGGGGGTGCATAGCTGTTAGGAAGAAGTACCTGGAGGTGGAATTCTTTTCATCTATAGTACACACATACACCACACACACACACACACACACACACACACACACACACACACAATGCATGTATATGTATTATTTCATACACTAATATTTGATAGGAGAGTTTAGGCTCCTCACCTTTCATGTGTGGAATTGATCCCAGGGCACATGCATAGTAGGCCAGGACTTTACCACTGGGCCACAGCCCCAGCCCTGTCCGTGGTCTCTAATGGGTATGAAAGGCCTCAACTCAGGGTCCTGATGTACTGATCATTTTAGGCTGACGTCTAATGCTAAGTCAAGTTGCAGGGTCTGAGACAATCATCTCATTGTCCTTGAGGGCTCCTCCCTATCACTGTCCTGGTTCAGGAGTCTGGGTCCAGTGCAGGAGAATCACAGTCCAGTTGTTCAAGTCTTTGAGCTGGCTGCATGCAGACTCTACTCCTACAATTTTCCAGCCTTATTTTAAAATTGGTATTGTCATTTTTCCTTATCGGCTGCTGTCTGGTCAGTCTTGGCCTTCTGCATTCTTAGACCCCCTCTGCATATTAGATTTGTTAAGGAAAAAAGAAGGCGATGAAAGCAAAGATTAATTTTTAATTTTGATCATTCATGCACCACATAACTCCCGGGGATCCGTTACATGCCGGGTTCTGCTTTAGGCACATGGACAAGATGTTCAGATACCTTACCCATGCGGAGGTTCCTGTCCTAACATGAATGGCCAATCCCAAATACACAGATGAGTGCAGTTCATGCCGCGCCGCGGGAGATGGCGCTTTCCTCCCTCAGTGACACCCGAGCTCTGCGTTTGCAGAAGGCTTCCCGGTCATGGGTGATCTCTCCCTGGAAGCCTCAGGACTGCTGCCAGTGTGGAGACAGCAGCTTAACGACCCCGCGAACTGGCAGGGCCTCGCTTTGCTTCCAGGTTCTTCCTTGCGCAAAGCACACGGATCTCCCTTCGGAGCCCTCCTTTAGGAAGGTGATTAAGACCCAGGCTTTCCCCCAGAGGAGCTACAGAAATACATCACGAAACAATCATAATACAGGGGAACGAGTGGTCTAATGGGGGTCTCAGCTGCAGCATCGCCTGGGAACTTGTTAGCTCTCTGGTGTCTCAGGCTCCGCTCTGGGGCCAGAGTGCGTGTTTTAACAAGATCCCCAGGTGCTGGTAGGCACATTAAAGTTTGGGAGACAATCTAAAACACACAGACCAACGGACTGTGGGAAAGAAGAAATGGCGAGTCGGTCGGCCTGGTGGTGGGCAGAAAGTGATGTCCACAGGGAACGGAAGTGGGAGTCACAGGAACGAAAGGGAGGATGATAGGCATCGCTGGCAGAGATGCAGGGTGCTTCCGGGGAGGCAGTCCCCACGTGGACGCAGAAAGGTGAAAGAGCCCTGGCTCTCTGGGGACAGATCTGGACAGAAGGTGGAGGAGGGGTACCGTTGGTAAGAGCTGAGACTAAAGAGGTTGCAAGTGTCAGCCGTGAAAAGCAGCAGCATGCCCCAGGCCTGATTTCGTTTTCTGCTGCAGGACATATTGTCTGAGGTAGGGTGATTTGTAAAGAAAAGGAATTTATTCCCTCACAAGGGAAGCTGGCTAGTCCAAGACCAAGGCACTGGCCTTTCTGGCTGTTGCACTACAGCATGGAGGAGAGCGGGAAGGGGACTACATTCTTATTTATTTATTTTGTTAAGATAAAGAATCCCCTTTCACAGTAATGGTGCCACTCCAGTCATGAGAATTCTCACAGGCCCCACCTATCAACACGGTTGCATTCATTGGGGGATTAAGTTCCTAATGCATGAACGTTGGGAGACACATCTGAACCCTAGCACCAGGGTCGTCAATAGGAATCTCCTCCTTCCTTTCCCCCCACAGCCCTCTATCATTCCTTCTTCATGTATTTTCCTTTTTTTTTAATTTAAAGGTTTTTTTTTTATTGTGTATACAGTATTATGCCTGCATGTATGCTTACATAACAGACGAGGGCACCAGATCTCACTATAGGTGGTTGTAAGCCACCACATGGTTGCTGGGAATTGAATTCAGGACCTTCTGAAGGACAGTCAGTGCTCTTAAGTTCCAAGCCATCTCTCCAGCCCCACATTTTCCTTTCATATACACTACTCATTCAAATGAAGATTCAAAAAAGTACAAGGCAGTATTCTTTCTTTTCTTATAACACTATATACATTCAATGTATACAGTAATATATTGATGCTCACATACACACATTCACACACACACATACAGGGAAATTGTTACTATGTTCAGGGAAACCAACATTCATTCAAAATATGAAATAGGTTCTTCCCAGGCAGTGGTGGCGCACGTCTTTAATCCTAGCACTCAAGAGGCAGAGGCAGTCAGATCTCTGAGTTCAAAGCCAGCCTGCTCTACAGAGTGAGTTTCAGAACAGCCAGGACTACATAGAGAAACCTGTCTTTAAAAGAAGATTCTCGTAGTAAAATTTTAGGATATAATACTTTATTTATTTATTTATTTATTTATTTATTTATTTATTTATTTTGAGGTAGTGGTTCACTTAGCCTAGGATGGCCTTGAAATATGTAGCTAAGGCTTCTGGTCCTCCTACCCCTACCATCAAGTTCTGGGGTTATAGGGGTGTACTTTCACACCTGGTTTATGCAGTACTGGGGATCAAACCTTGGGCTTCATGCACACCAGGTAAGCACTCTGCTAGTCGAGCAACACCCCAGCCCGCCACACAGTATTAATTCTAGTTGGCATGCTGTGTGCTCGATCTCAGTGCTGACTTGTGCCTTCCCGCATCTCCCCATCCCGGGCAGTCCCCATCCCACCCTCTGTGACTACATACCCAATGATTCTGTAGTTGACACCCAGGTGAAGCGGAACGCCGCTTTGTTCCTGGGACCTCTAAGGAGAACAAAGGCCAGGACCTCAGACATCTCCTCTGGGCTTTGGCATCCCTGGGATTTTGTTTAGGGAATGCTGTTATGGTCCATCCTTGAAGGGCAACAGACGATGAAGGGAGTCAGATGGATCTGCGTCATACAGGGCACCTTGTCTATAAAGTGACAACGGCGAGGTGTTTGGGGAGGTTCTCAACTGAGTAGCACCCGGTCTGTAGTTGACATTCAAGAACCACAAGCGTCTTCCTATTTTGTCATGAGATGATGTCACTGGTCGCCATATTGGCATGTTCTGTCAAGTGAAATATTATTATTTACCCAAAGTGAATCTGATAGAAAGCTCAAGCAACAATCTACAAGTTTTCTCGGGACCTGACAGCTGGACTTCCTTATCCTCCACACCTCATGCCAGCATCCTGTCTGTACCCCACACCAATGGACCAATCAATCCAGGACCCGGGTAAGCAACGCCAGAAGCCCGATCTTAGTGGGACTTGGAGGCTTCCTGTGTCTCCCAGAACTCATGGTTTAAGCTATTGTTTTGACAGTAAGCCAGCAGGAAGTGAAAGTGACAACTGGATGGCTCTTTTGCAGCTGGGGATAAACTCTTTGTTTTGTGGCTACAGTATTTTATGGGCTTTGTACCAGGGAGCAGAGTTGAGAGGTGAGGCCCTGGGATGTGAGCATGATAGAAAACACTTCGAGAATACTACATGCTTGACACCACATATTTGTTTTTTAATCTAACCTCTACAACAATTTCTGAGCTATGCAGAATGGTTTATTTCTGAGGATATAGAAAGTGGGATTCAGAGGTATGAAGTTATTTGACCAAGGCCACAGAGCTGATCAGTGGTAGAGGAGCCACACCAAGGGCTTGGGAGGCAATGTCCTGCTGGTTTTATCTATCACATTGTCTGCCTTGGCCAGAGGGAGGTCATACCACTGCTCGTACAGTAGAAGAACCTTCCTTTGACTGCCTTAGCTATGTTAGACAGTTGCAAGGGGGTGTCAGACGATGAAATGCTATTTGAGTCTGAGGAAGGTGTTACTAGCGGGACCAGCACCAGAATCTAGCCTTCTTTTTTTTCTTATTTACCATATCTCACTGAGTCTCTTGGATTTTCTGCAGAAATAGAGACTAGAGACACAGTCCTTGCCATACGGCCCCTTCCCATCACTGCCCATCTTTGCCCTTCTTCTCACTCTCAAGAGGTTCTGGGAATGTACATGGGCTTGGTGGTAGCATCTCTTTGCTGAAGTATCATCACCAGTTCCTGTCTCTCTGTCTCGGCAGTCCCTACCCATGCCTGTGGACCATCAGCAATGGAGGCGGGGGCCCTGTGGCATCGAGCCCAGAGGTGCATGCCAGCACCGCAGGGACCTTTCTCCTTGGAAACCCTGCAGTCACTTCAGCTTCCTCCGTGGTCCCCACCCAAGCAACCACTTCAGCCGGGGTGGAGGTCCTGGGTGAACCTTCACTGACCAGCATTGCTGTATCCACCTGGACAGCAGTGGCCTCGCACCCCTTTCCAGGCTGGGGTGGCCCTGGGGGAGGAGGGCGTCATTCCCCGTCTTCGCTGGATAGTTAGACAGGCTCCTAGGAGCCTACATCAGCAGAGAACTATATGTGTAGGTTCATAGCAATCGCATCTGCTGATTCCAGTGAGTTGGGCTGCAGGATCTCTTCACCCAGAGGGCTGGAGGGCTGCATGGTGACGCCAGAAGGCCTTCCAAAAAAGTGGCTTAGTTCGGGCGATTTGGATTTTACTCCTTGCATCTCCACCATTTCCCGTGGTTCCCCTGCTTTCTCTGCGCTTACCCCTGCCACGCTTAGGTTGTGAAGTCGGCTTTGTCCTTGCGCTCTGTCCACTGCTTCCTTTTCTCTGGAGTTAGTGCAGGGTTAGTTGTGAGGGAAGCTCAACCTTTACCTAGTGAGGCTACTGCGTCTTAGCTCTGCGCAGCCTTGGAAAGGGTGTGTGACCGTCAGGTCTGAGCTGCCTTCTGCTCTCAGACCCTCAGATGTGAGCCCATAAAGTTAACAACAGGAAGCTGGTGTTAAAGTCAATCCCGTATTGTTCGTAGACGTGTGTCTGAAATCGAGGAAATGAGGTCGACTCCCTCACCAGCTCATAATCAATGGCTCCCCATTTCCTACAGAATGAGACTTCTGAATGAGACTTTAGGTGATACCATGTAGCCCAAGGACAGCCCCTCAACCTCCAGCTTCAACTCCTTCCATTAAGCTTGTAGCACCAGTCAAGCAGGCGGCCTTCCCGCCTCTGAACACTGCTGCATTTGCCCTCCTCTGTGCCTGAAGTAGCTCTCGCTCCAGTCCACCTGTGTGAATTGTACCTTCTTCCCCAGGACCTCCGGTGTCAGTCACCTGAGGTGATGTGTGTCCCCTGCTCCCCCATCTTTACCTCAGGCACAGAGCTCACGTCTTTCCGCCTTGTATTTCTGTGAGCGTGTCTGTCTCCCTCGTCGACTGTACGCCTCCTGAGAGTGAGGCCCAGCCTTCCTGTCATTGTGCCCATAGCCCCTGGTATTGTGCCTTGACTACCCTCGGTGCCCAATAAACATTTGCTGAGTTGAACTGGTGTGAGATGTGTGTTTGCCAAAGGGACTGTGTGGAGCTGACGGGGAGGGGGAATGTTGTCGGTTAGTCTCCATTACCGCAGGCATGATCAATCATGTGATTGTAGTGACCCATGGGAATGAGAGAGCTTGTTGGGGACCCCTGGAGCCCTTACAGGAGTATAGATGCCTGGGATGCACCACCGCTGTGGGAATAGAATCCATGGGCTGGCTTCAGAATCTGCTCCTCAGAAATCCTGGGACTTGGTTGAAGAGCTAGGGCAGGAAGCGACTTATTTCAAACAGAGAAAGAGAACGGGGATTACTCAGGTTCTCAGTTCATGAATTTCAGCTTCTACCTCAACCAAGGTCAATGTAGTAGTCAGTGAGCAAAACCATGGCTTCCTTCATCTTTCCTCTTCTTACCCATTGTTGGCTATGCTCATAAGCAGCGAAGCGAGCCTTGCAGGCCTGGGCATTGGGTTCTCTGCACACAGCCACCAGACTGCACTGACTGATGGGGCCCAAAGCTCTCCCACAGTGAGGTCCAGGTCCCACCACTACTCCATCTGCTGAGTCCCTCACTCTGAGGCTGAGGGCGCCAAGTATGACACTGTGAGGTAGGTTTTTGGCCTCTCTATAATGAAAAACCCCATACCATGTGGATAATTGAGGTTCCTTGGAGAAAAACAATACCTCAGATCTCTGGAAACAACAATACCTAAGCTACAGGGTGTCCTGGGAGTTCATTGTACTCCAATTGGGGTTGCCTGGCTAGAGCTCTGGGCCACTAATTGATGAGAATGCCCAAGGCAAGCTATACTCATGTGGCTGTCCTTTGAAAGGGTGCTCCATTATCATGTTCCCATGGCAGTGCTGTAGCTCAGGTCCCCAGTGTCTCTGTGACACCCTCAGACATCATTAAAGTCCTGAAACATTAGCATCTCTGCCAGGTGGTATTTTGGTAAGTTTTAAAAAGTGGCCATAAACCTAGGCGGTGGTGGCACACACCTTTAATCTCAGCTCTTGGGAGGCAAATCTTGGTGAGTTCGAGGCCAGCCTGGTCTCCAGAGCTAGTTCCAGCAAGCCAAGGCTACATAGAGAAATCTGGAAAACAAAACAAAACAAAACAAAAATGTGGCCATACCTCATTCTGTCAGAGCTTTGAGTGACAGCCGCTTCCAGTCCCTGGTGAAGGCCTTGTCCCGGTTGCTGTAACAGTGCCTTGTGTGCCAGCGGATGGATGTGTTCATGTCTGTATATGCCTATTTTATTAAATATACAGGTATGTATTATTAAAATATGAGAGCCCGTCTTCAGCTTCACCTTTCCCATACCTCCCAGCCTAAAGCAAACAAAGCATATAGTCCAGAGGATCCAAACAACAGGAAGCCAAGAGCCTGCATTCTTTTCCATTCACCTGCTCCAGTGGCTCCGAGCCTCTGCAGAGCAATACAGCATGCAGCAGCTGAGCAGGAGGTGATAAAGTCTCATCAGTGTTGTGGGATGCTCAGCTTGGGGTCTGAGCTGGTTTATATAGGTATGCAAGTGATAATTGCATCTGCATTTAGGACCTTCTTGCAGTTAGTTATCTAGCCAGAGCCATCGACCTTCTGGTCTTTTCTCCAAATAGTCAAGGGCTAATTTGCATTTGGGAAGAGCAATAGTATTTATTGAAATGGTATCTGGTATGTTAGATGAACCTTTGAGGCTGTATGCTGTTTCCTCACTCCCGTACTTTTATCCGGATGATTATAAAACACAGCTGGCACCATATCAGGTCTTCAGGCCTGTCACGTGGAATTTATGAGATGACTAGAATCCCACGTGAATAGAAAATATTCTGTAATTCTTCCAGCTAAGTAGTAGATTCTTCTCCTCCTATTCTATTTTGCTGTATTCCATTCTGTTTTCTGTTCTGTTCTAAAGCCCCGCTGCTCCTTTTCCGGCTTTTATTTGGACTTGTAAGACTCCACCAACTTTTTCGTCCCTGAGTGAGCCAGCTTGTCACTGACCTCCACCCTGTGTTGGAGCCAGGCGCTCTAAGGGATTGTGGACTCCCTTCCTGTCACTCAGTGGGCATCCCTTGAACTTGGAGGAAGTTGTGGAGAGGCAGAAGGTGCAAGGGTATTGTTTCCATGACCTGAGCCATCGACAGGGTGTCTCAGTGAAGGCTGTTGTCATTCCGTCCTAAGACTGGTAGAAAGCTGGGTGAATAGCAGCAGGCTAACGGGCCACATAAAATTACCCTTGCACAGTTGGTACACCACATCCTTTTCCCAGGGCACAAGTCTCTGCTGAGGGTTACCACACTCCCACTCAGCTCCACCCCACCAAGCAGAGATGGTTGGATTGGGATTTCTTGTTTATACCACAGTCCTATCTGTTACAGGCTGTGTGGGGCTCCTCAGACCACAGAGGGCTAACTAAGTAGCTCAAAAGAAGAAAAGAAATGGGGCCTCAATTTGAAATGTATTGTAAACCACACAAAATTAAAAATATATATGAAGGGCTGGAGAGGTGGCTCAGAGGTTAAGAGCACTCACTGACTGCTCTTCCAGAGGTTCTGAGTTCAATTCCCAGCAACCACATGGTTGCTTACAACCATCTTTTATTATATTTTTTTTCCTCTTCTGGCTTGCAGGTGTATATGCAGGCAGATACTGTATACATAATAAATAAATTATATATATATATATATATATATATATATATATATATATGAATGAAGGCAGGCAAAACTTCAGTGTTGGTGCCTAGGTTGACTGGACTTCACTGTCAGCCTGGTCACTATGGCTGTTCTGGGAACCCAAGGTGAAGTAATGACTGTCCTTCATCCTGATAAGTCTTTGGGGTCTCCAAGAAGCAATAAATTTCCTTGCACACAGTACCCAGGTCTACTCTTGTACTTCTTGAACTGGTGACACTGTGGGACCATGTTTCCTACTCCTTGGCACTACCCACATCCAGTGTGAGTGTCTCTTGCAGCTGTGCCATATGCCAGCCATCTGGAAATCCTCACCAATACATCCAGAAGTGTGCTTTGCCAAACACCCGGGTGTCACCAGAGCCAATCAAGGTAGACAAGAAGATGAACCATCTCACTACCTAAATAGTCAAACTTAGTCTTCACTGCCTTTGCTAGAGAAGCTATGGGCCCATTTCCGGGGCTTGACTTCTGTATGCAGATAAAGCCTAGTAAATATGGCTGCCCTTACTGGAGGAAACTGCATTGTGTTCCTCTGAGCGTTGGTGTGGGAGTTGACAGGAGGACGCATTGTCTGTCCCACAAACCCCATCCTCTTTCACTGTCCTCAGAGATAAGAGAAACCAAGAGCAGATGTGGGGACCCAGAAGGTGGAGGCCAGATGGCAGAGGACACAAACTTTGACATTAGGAAGCTCCTCCATGCTATACCAGCAAAATCACGCTGTGTTGGCTTGTTTTGTCGACTTAACACAAACTAGAGTCACCTCAGGAGAGGGAGCCTCCTTTGAGGAATTGTCACCATCAGAATGGCCTGTGGGCAATGCTGCGGGGTCATCTTCTTGTTCAATGATTGATGTGGGAGGGCCTGGCCCACTCAGCGAGGGGCCACCCTGGGCAGGTGGGCCTGGATTGCATAAGGAAGCAGGCTGAGCAAGTGGTGGACTATTATCTGGGTGTTATAAGATGAAATAAATCCTTTCCTCCCCCAAGTTGCTTTGGGTCACAATGTTTAGCACAGCAACAGGTGAACTAGATCACATCATTTCTCTCATTTAAACTGTAACTGCTGGGACTGTCAGCGTCTACCTGTTAGGGCCATAGAAAACTGGAGTACCCCTCTATCCCCTGTCAAGTTACTGCTATGACCCTGAACACGCTCTCCAGGAAGTCACAGTGAGCAACTTTTATCTCATGCCTGAAGGAGCAAAGCTGTGTTGAGTACTTTGCATGTGTTATCTAACTAGCTACATTTGGAAGCCTACAAGTTACCTATCATTTTAAAATGGTTTTTTATACATTTTTAATTTACAAACCAGAGACTTTACTTGTTTAAAGTGTTCAGGTTATTGATGTTTAATTTCTGAGTTACATTTATGTATGTGTGGGGAGGGTGGGGAATATGCGTGTGCTATGGCTCTGAGTGGAGGTCAGGGGACAACTTACAGAAGTTGATAGTTCTCTTCTTCTACCACGTGGGTCCTGGGGCTTGAACTCCTGCTGTCAGGCCTGGCAGGAAGTGCCTTTGCTCACTGGACCGTCTTGCTGGGCTCAGTTGATTGGCTTTAGAAGTGTATTTACAAAGTTGCACAAGCACCCTCATTTCCATCAGCCTGCAAAGATAGCTTATTTCTCTTGGTGGTCCTCACCCACTCCCTTCTTGCATCTCTACAACCCCAGCCCCAGTCAGCCAAGACTACACTTTAGAGACTTTCCCGCTCCAGATACTCCATGTCCATGGCCCCTGTGACTTGGTCTTTTATGGATGGCTTGACTCAGTCTATGATTTTAGAGATTCATTGGGGTAGCATACATTGGCACCCTGTTCCTTTCTGTGCAAATGACATTCTGTCATATAAAAGCAGGCTGCCTCTACTCATTCATCAGTCAATGGGCATTTGGTTTGATTCTATTCTTTGAATATTTGTGTATATGCTCCTATGTGGGCTAGAGGTTGTCTTGCCCATTCTCTATTGTCCAGATGAGGAGGGATGCTCAGAGAGCGGAGATGGGCCTCCCAATGTCATACAGCTAGTAGGAAGCTGAACACAGGCCTCTCTGATGGTAGAGTTACATCCCCACCCATAACTCAGTGTCGTCGCTCTGCCGGGAGGGGACCCAAGCAGGAGCAATTGCATGACTCTGGAGGTACCTCCCTTAGTTTCTTGTCGTATCAACTTGGGTCTTGAGGATGTTGTAAATAAAGCAAAGGGCCTGCTCCTTGGGAAGAAATTTGTCAGAGGCGGCAAGGAAGTGGGAGGCAGAGAGGTGGTCATATGAGCAAGACCTCATGGGCTCCATATTTCAGGGGCCTGGTGGCAGATGGCTGGTTCCAGGAAGGACTAGATGGCAGGAAAACATCTCTGGGTGTTTTCCATAAACCCTTTGGGGCAGATTCTGGTAAAAACTAAATTTCCTGGAGCAGCAGAATACAGAGCTTAAGTTCATTATCATTTGGATTATTAATGAAAATGTGAAAGCCTGCTTAATGAAGCTTGCAAATATTAATTATAATGAGAAAAGAGGGAATCTGGGGTAGATTGTAGAAAGTGCACTTGTTATTCCCCAAAAACTGTGCTGCAAACTGAACATTCAGATCGCTTTAAGAATTCACTTTATATTTAAACATTCTCAGAAGGGTTGAAGTGGAGAAAAACTTTGCATATGTAAGGATTTTGAATTGGGAGGCCATCCGTGTGTTAGGTGACTGTTTGGTGAGCTTCTGCGATGGTCACTGAGCAAAATGATGCCACTGAGTCTTTCTCTGCAGAGGCTGAGGTGCAGGGCCCCTGATGGGGGCTTTTCAGTCTAAACCTAGGACTGGCTTGGGTTTGCCCAGGCCAGGCAGTCACATTATTATATTAGGGCATATCCTTGAGGAGTGATTGGGAGTTGACGATCCTGTTGCTTTTGTCACGTGGGTGACAGGTATTTTAAGAAAAGAGGTAGCCCGGAGGAGACACCGCAGGAAAGCTAACAGATAGATAGCCTGAGTTCTTACTGCTGCAGTTCTCTCAACCTTCTGTAGGTGGCGCAATTGTTCAACGTAAGTCCTACAGAAGAAACAGCGGTATTGAAGCATCTAGAAGACCCAGACAATGCAGTTGCTTTTTCAGTGTAGTCAACTCCGTATGTTTATCTCAGTTTTAGCTGAATCACCCCCAAAACTTGCTTACCTTGAGTCCTAGAAACACTTGCTTGTGTCCTTAAGAATTTCTTTTTTCCAAACGTCCTGTGAGATGTCGCATAGCAGATCAAAATTTAGATCTGCTGAGTCATGCAGGGTCACAGCACGCTGGAACCCAGAGTTTACTCACCAGTTCTGACCCAGCGTTCTAAAAGGGATCCAGGGCTTTGTGCTAAGACATGGACTCATGTCAGTTGCTATGCTGTTGTTTTAGGGATGGGAGCCCCATTAACACATGGAGGGGAGAGGAACTAGGAAAAGTTTCTGCACCCCGATTAGCCGCTCGGCTGATGCAATAATACAAATCAGACCAAATTAAACCGAATTAGAAAAAACCCAAGTTTAATAAATGCTAACACTCCCTGGTGCCCCCACTCCCCCCTCCATGGAGACAGGGAAGGAAGACCAGAAAACCATATAGAGGGGAAAGAAGATAGGAAGCCACGTTGTTCTCTGGGAGCAGTTTAAATACCCTGTGGGAGTGGTCTGGAGCCTCTCTGGGAAGGGGACACCATTTGGTGTGCTTTTTTGGAGGTGGGGTCTGGACTGAGGCAACTCCCAGGGAGGGGGTTTGGAATGGAACTTTCCACCTAAACATTTCCAGATTTTTTGGATTTATGGATGCCCGGGCCTGGAGTGAAGCCTTAACCCAAACAAAACTGAGAACAATGTGTTGCCTTCCCAGTGTTCTGATTGCCTATGGTTGGCTAGTGCCTGAGCATCAGGTTCAAATCATTCACAAATTACTTTCTCTGTTTCTGTTTTCTCGTTCTTTTGTCAAAACCAAACCAAATCAAACAAAACCAAAACAACGAAACAAGCTCACCCCTCCCCGAAGACAGCAACAAAAACCCAGAAAGAAACCAGAGACATGGCAGTGGCCGTACATGCTAATGTTTCCCTATGCGGCTCTCCTTGAGACAGCCAGGGGCAGAGACTTTCATATTTCTCTATATTTTGTGAGCAGAGATGAACTGGCTGGTTGCGTGTGTCAACTTGACACAAGCGAGGGTCATCAGAGAGGAAGAAACCTCAGTTGAGGAAATGTCTCCATGAGATCCAGCTGTAAGGCATTTTCTCAATTAGTGATCAATGGGGGAGGGCCCAGCTCATGGTGGGTGGTGCCATCTCTGGGCTGTTGGTCCTGGGTTCTAGAAGAAAGCAGGTTGAGCAAGTCAGGGGAAGCAAGCCAGTAAGCAGCACTCCTCCAAGGTTTCTGCATCAGCTCCTGCTTCCAGGATCCTGCCCGTTTGAGCTCCTGTTCTGACTCCCTTCAGTGATGAACAGTTACATGGAAATGTAAGCCAAATAAATCCTTTCCTCCCCACCTTGCTTTTTGGTCATGGTGTTTCATTGTGGCAATGGAAACCCTGACTAAGAGAAGAGACGGTGGTAATTTCTGTTCTGGGTTGTCATTTCCAGGACTTTGGAAGCACAGTTTGCTTTGGAAGGTAGAGACTGTGTCTCTTTCTGAGTAGAGTTCGAGTTTGCTGTCCTTCTGTTGTGGGATATTTGTACACAGTGTGAAGATGTATTTGCTGTGATTGGTGTAATAAAAGGCTGAATGGCCAATAACCAGGCAGGGGGTATAGGTGGAATTTCTGGGGAGAGGAAGGAAAAGGAGGAGAATCTAGGTATGCAGGAGATGCTGGGAGACATGAGAGAGGAAATAGAAGGTGCAAGAGAAAGAAAGGTAAAAATGTATATTTTTACATGTAGATTAATATAAATGGTTAATGCAAGTTATAGAAGTTAATGGGGCAAGCTTAAGCTAAAGCCTAGCTTTCATAATTAATAATAAGGCTCTTGTCTCATTATTTGGGAGCTGGCTGATGGAACAGAGAAATAACTCGGTACACCTTCCTCCAGGCAAGGGACAAATTTCCCGAGAAAGCCCATTTCAAAAATGTAGGGTGAGGGCTGAGGAGGGAGCACAGCTGCAGAAGTGCTTGTCTAGCAATCTTGAGGACCTGTGTTTGATCCCCAGCACCCACTTTAAAAAGCGAGACATGGTGAGTGGCACTTGCTTGTGATCTCAGCACTGGTGAGGCAGAGGTTGGTGGATGGCTCCCTGAGCTTGCTGGCCCCTCAGTCTAGTCTATGTGGTGAGCTTCGGGCTATCAAGAACCCCTTTCTCCTAAAAACAAGGCGGGCAGCTCCTGAGGAGCAGCACCCAGGTTGTCCTTTGACCTCCATACACATGCACCTACACCTGTAAACACACTTGCATGTGCGCATGCATGAATGAACACACATATGCAAACACAGGCGTGCACACGCATGCATGTGTGCATGATTAAGAGGTCCCTCGGCTATGATACAGATCTATTGCTGATATAGCATGCACCTGGACCACTGTGCAACACCTTATGGGGTTTGGAAGGAGAGGGAACAGATGTGAATATGAAATATTCTAAATGACAAATAAAGTATTTTGCTTTTGGCCCAGAAGACATGTGTGTGTGTGTGTGTGTGTGTCTCCCTAGCGTCTGTGAAGCTGTGAAGGAACTCATTATCTTGAAAGAGTGACCATAATCTTAGGTCCTTCCTAGTTCTCTTCCTCCTCCTCTTTAATCTTTTTAAATTTAATTTAATGGTGTGACTATGTGAGGCTGTCTCTGTGTGGGTGTGCACATGTGGGCAGGTGCCTGTTCATACCAGGACAGGGCATCATAGTCCCTGGAGCTGGAGTGACAGGTGGCTCTGAGACACTGCGTATGGGTGCTGGCAACCAAACTCTGGCCCTCTGTGGGAAGCAAGTACTCTTAACAGCTGAGCCATCTCTCCAGCTTCCCTCAACAGAGAGTTTAAAATGACATGCAGGTTTCTAAACCTCAATATAGTTAGTTATTTTGTAAAAAATAAGATCATGGGAGTCCATTTTCCTTAATGCCTTAAGTCAGCTCAGGTTCAAATATACGCAACTGAACAGAAAACATCAGGCCCCTGCTAAGGACCGCTAGGCTAGCTACCCTTATCCAAGAAGCTAAAAATTTAACAACAATAAAAAAGTTATCAGCTGTCCAGCTTGTCTCTTCACCTGCAGATGTGACAAGTATATGTTCTTGAAAAGCTTCAAATTAAACAGAATGTAGAGTCAAGATAAACCCACACATGGTCTTGGTGGAGAAGGAAACCAATGTTAAGTGGCAGATAATGTAAAAGGTCGTAAACCCCGCCCCCCCCAACGAAAGGTCGGACCCCCCCCCCCCCGCCCTACTCCTCCCCCACCCCAGGAACGGTTGGACCCTCCCCCTCCCCACACGAAAGGTTGGACTGTCCTCATGCTCACTTCATTCCTGTGGCTGCTGGCTCGCTTGTAGGGGGCACCCGGCCTTCCCAGGTGGTAAACTGCCTTACTTTCGCTACCCGAATCTCTGGTGCTAATCATTAGGAGTCGGGGGAGCGCCTTTGTTTCTCACCATTCTAATTATTCTAGAATCTTTCAGTAGGTAGTTTCAGCGTATTCGTCATTCCCTTACCGGAAGAGTTGATCTCCAGTTTCTGTGGAAACCGTGGCTGTGGGCATCCTTGTCCCGTTTGTGGTGAACACCCGTGAGTGTCCACAGGCCAGAGACTTCAGAGTGGAAGCCAATCTTTAGATATATGTCGCTTAATCTCTTTGCCTTTTTTTTAAAACAGTGTTCTCTAACTCGATTGTACAAAGCCACAATTCTAGCAGTTACATGCTTCCATAGTTCTTAATCTTTTCCAATTAGAGTTGTATTAACTGTTTTTGGTTTTTCAAGTCAGGGTTTCTCTGTGTAGTCCTGGCTGTCCTGAAACTTACTTTGTAGACCAGGCTGGCCTTGAACTCAGAGATCTGCCTGCCTCTGCTTCCCGAGTGCTGGGATTAAAGGTGTGTGCTGTCATTGCCTGGCTAGAATTGTATAACGTTATATTTGGTTGTTTTAATTTTCATATTAGGTGAGAGTGAATATCTTTCCATAGTTTTTGGCACTTTCTCTTTTCTGAAGATGTTTTCATTTTTTTTAGGCCTGCAAATTTTTCTTTATAAGTTCTGGATGATATTTTTTTATTGGCTTCAGGACTTCTCGCTTAGAGGGAGCTTTCCCAATGTCCTGAAGGGATGGCAGCCATATGATTGCACGCTGTATTCATTAGCTTTTCATGCTGTGGCTGAACACCCAACAGGAAAGAGAAGAGATTAGTTTGGCTCATGGTTTTAGAGGGTTCAGTCCATGGTCATTTGGTCCCATGTACTTGGTCAGAACACTGTGGCTGTGGGAGCCCCATTTCTCATAAAATGACTTTCCTAAACCTGCCCCAAGGCATGGACAGGGCCTAAAAAAATGAGCCCCTCCAGAGAAACAGAAAAGAGTCTGCTTTCCTTCCTTCCACCTTGGGTCCAGGTGAGTTACAGTCACTGTGGGGGTGATTCTGGATCTGGGCAAGCTACAGTCACTGTGGGGTGATTCTGTGTGACTTTTAAGCCTGGGGATAAGAGGCAAGAGGGACTCTTTTTACCCTTTAAAACACCTCTCTCCTTCCATGTGTGAAGCTCTACCACAGGGGAGTGCCTCCTTCATCTATTTCCAGCAGCTAACCTGTATCTCCACCGTATGGCATATTCTCACTCAGGATTCCTGTATTGAGCTGTCTTCTAGAGTGATGGCGTGCTTCTGTTCTTTAATGAGAGTCCATTCTGCTGACTTCAGCATGATATGCTGATATTACTTTAAAAGTCATTTGTTGTTTGAAGACTCCTTGTGATTCTTGGAGATAGGGGACTGCAAGCATCTGATAAATTAATAATGTTCTGAGTTTAGCATATATATGACTCCTTGTGTTTGCAAAGCAGGAAACATAAATATTTCAGCATAATGGACTTTAAAGGTACCAGACTGGAAAATTATCTCCCCAGTTCTGTGTCCCCACGATGATGCTTCTGCTTTTGTTTCCATCCAAATGCAAATGAAGTTCTACCTCACAGCCTCCCCAGACTTCATCCTCTGGAGACACTAGAAGTCTTGTAAAGAGGCCTAGGACTCCAACAATGTTAAATGTGTGCTGGGCTTATGGGCTTGGAGCCACTCCTTTCAATCCTGACTGAGCCTGGCCTT